CTTTTTGCGTTGGCGGCCTTCGGCCGCGCTTCAAAAAAATAACCCTGGTCGATCCAACACCGGGGGTATCAAGGTTTTTTTGCGCAGAACTTATTTTTGCGTTGTTTCCTGTATCTAGGGTACAATCTCTCTGTTTATTTTATTTTTCTTCGTTTACAAAATATATTAGTATGGCAACACTGATGTTTTGACATTCACAACCATTTTGTTATTGTCAAAATTAATAAAATTGAAGAATGATTTAAATATTGAAATAAAGCTATTTTTGCAGCATCTAATATAAAAAAAATTTCTAAAAACGAATTAGTTAAGTGTTAGTGGATATAAAAGTGCAAAAAAAAGTGTATAATTCATTTTAAATCGCAAAAATACGTACTTTAATTAGTTGAAATTTTGAACTTTAAACCCAATTATCTCGAAAACTATAAGTTTCCCGCGGCTATATCTATATATATTCTTGATCTGGAGGATCTCCTCTATCCGCCCATACCCATTTTATCCCCGAAAGCGTGGGACGTTATTCTAAAGCCGACCCCAAACAAATAATACTTACTTGCATCCGCTACTTGCTGGCCTTGGTTACTTCTGCTAGAAGAACCTCCAGAAACTTTCTTTATCTCATCCTGACTGAAGCCGTCGAATTTGTTCGACATCTTATATAGTATAAATAAATCTATCTGAAAAATAAGCCACCTTTTAATATTTCAATGAGTGGAGAATTTTTGAACTTAATGCAAACAAAAAATTGAAGATCCATAAAACAAGAATATTAATATTTACCAACCAACACAACAACGGGAAATGTCAAACACATCATCAACAATTGATGATCTGCGGACAGTGTTGCCGCTTTAATTTGGTTTGTGATCATTGCATTAAATTCAAAAATGACAGAACCATTCTTTATAAGTGTTATTTGTTCGTTTATTTAATATGTACATATATATAATATAGATAACAAGTATTTAATTAAATAACATTTTCAATTTCGGTTTATTGGATTTCTATATCAGAGTACTTGTATTAAAAAAAAAGGAAAACAAACCATAATGTTTAACACATGTCCATATATGTGTATACTAGAGATTAAATTTGTGAATCCTTTGGGTTCATAAGTTTAAGATCGTTATATTTAATTCTTTACGAAGATCTCTTATATCTTGCTCCCAGCGTTCTTCCCAAAATACAGGCATTAATGGTTTAATTTCCTTTCCATTTTTCAGAGCCCAAGGTAAATAACGAGAAACATACTCCTTCCGTTGCCTACAAATTGAGAAAATAAATTCGAAATTACCATCATTCAAGATTGCCATTATACACTTTTATATTTACTTAGGACGTAGTCGCATGGCACCAAATATTGCACCCCCATAACACATAGGCAGTCCGTTATTCAACGCCTCTACCCATTTGACGGCTACTTCACCCAGCATATTGGTAGGCATTCCCAGCACTGTGTGCACCAGATCATGACACTCACGGTAGCGTGTCATCACATATGCCAGCATTGGATCGCTAATGAATCGTACTTCCATACGCGAGTCGGGTGTTACTTTCTGTAAAAGTTAACTAATTAATTATTCATGTCTAAAGCATTAACATATTAAGATAAGGTTTTCATAATTATTAAGACAATTTACATTGTCATCCAAGAACTTCATGTAGACTCGCCCAAGAGTATTCTCTCCTAAGGAACGTAAATGGTTCATATCTACGGTATGAGTGTTTATACGTGGCTTCTGTTTCAGTATGCGTTTGCCCTCAGCAGTAAGTTCCATTGTCTGTAAGATATTCCGCAAGGTCGCTTCGCCGGTGGTTTCACCCAAAGCGGCGATCATGTCATGCCTACGAGGATGTACTAAGACATTATAGAATTAAGCTACATGTGCATACATCTAATTGATTCACCTTCGTGGATCAATTAGGGCGGCAATGGAGGAACCCGCGCCGAGTAGTATCTTCTGAAAAGGCGACATTTCTATGCGATTTTTAAGAAACTCTTTGGTAAACTCATCCAAATGTGCTTCATCACAAGATGGACTACCACTTCTCTCGGACCCTGTAGTGTTACTTTCTGCTGTGGCTGTGATACATCGACATATACGGAGATTCCGAAACAATTGCGTTAACAGATTTGAGCGAACGGTCTTCAACATTTTCGATGCAAATAGTTCTGCTAATAATAAACGTTTACATTTTTTAATAAAACACACGAATTAACGATAACATTACCACAAAAAGGTCTATCAATTATATTTATCTATGTACCATTTATCTTATTTGCATATTAATTCAACTAACTTAGTAAGGGTATATTAAGATAACAAGGTTTTTAATTTTCAAACCTGTGCTCACAAAATACCTTTCATATAATTATTTATGTATGCATACATATGTACATCTAAGATGCTCAAAAATATTTTAACACCTTTGCTTTATCAGATACTGTAATTAATTTTTATTTATAACCGTTGCAAATGATGAGCAATAGTAATGAAGCAAGAGGATTTGTATTTCCACATTAGCATACTTTTCAAGTTGTAATAATCAATTATTATTCCACTAGTTGAAATTAATTGAAGATTATAGGTAAACACACAAATATACATACATATGTATGTATTGTAAGCTATTTTTATCATTTATCTACCGTAGTTGGATCTTTCTTCAAATCTTAGATCTGTACATATGTATGTATAAATTTAGTGTTAGAGTAATTTAACAAACATGTTATTAAAACTTATTTTCTTTGTTGTATTTACATATGTACATGTTTATAGTCACTTCAAAACCTTCAATAATGTGACGTCACTGCTATTTCAGTTATTTTCTCAAAAGCTTCACAGAGCTCGACAAATGGTATTTGCCTTGAATAAAACTTCTCACGCAAATATGATCAGCACTTTTATACATATGTACATATAATAATATAGTATATACATATGTATGCCTGAGTATGTTAGTATATGCATATGTATGTACATATTAATATAGACACTAAAAAATTATATATATATTGTAAAAAATTATCCAATAAGCATTATTAATATATGTATGTATGCATGTAGGTAAGTATGTAAGAAAGCGTTTTGCAGATATGCAAGAAAATCATTTTGGATGTTAATCAATTAAATAATGATATACCTATGTACTTTTATTTACGGTATGTATTGGTTATTCACTAAACTTCTGTTTATATTGTATTAGTTAATAAACAAGTATGAATGAATATTATCTTAATATTGGTATAAAAACCTCTATGTACTCAAGTGGCATTCAACCATTCTTAAGCTTATGCACATACTGTTTGATGAATACTTATATAAAATATTATATTAACAAACAAGAAGTTTCAATGCCAAATAAATGTCTGTTGAATGTCTAAATTCCTCATAAAGACGTTTTTTTAAATTTTAGAGTTTTTTCACGAAGATTGCGATCATTCGAAACCATCGTTGCATAATTTCCATAGCTAGAAACTTGTAATTTCAGGAAACATTGGTTGGCAAATGTATATAATATATATATTTTTTATATATATGTATATATATATATATATATATAATTGAAATTAGAAGGTTAGTACTACAATATCACTCACTGCGTTTATGATAATTTCCAATATTATTTGAATTCATAAAGCCCTTTACGATTATTTCAATTATAAACATACATACATATTGTACGTATATGTATGTAGATAAGTACATGTCATAAGAATAGAAAACTATTTACCATTTCTCAAAGAGTTTGAAGCCTATCATAGGTGTTTCACGTGTATGTATTGTATGTACATATCATCACTTCAAAAAACTCTTCCACTTAGGTAATATAAACATATGTGTATACATACATACACACATATCATATTTTCTACAGCATCGATGGAATTATTTTTTGGGTACAATGAACCCAATTTGCGAGTTATAAATATTGTACAATCAAGCGCATACGTACATATGCACTTAGGTGGTACGGTTGGGTTTGTATGTACATACAAATACATTACAAGTGTGTATACACCTACAACTTCAAGAATAGCGTACTTCTAAGTTAACTTCATTCCCAATGTTTTCAGATTGGCATCGCTCATTAACGATTCTTAATAGTTAAATGTGGATATATATGAAATATACCGGAAATATTAAAGAGTTTAAGGAAGTTTGTTGACTAAACTTGACATTAACTGTCCCGCCAAGTCCTAACTCAGTACAGTATACAGTAGTATAGTACAGTTTTTAGATTTAGGTGCATACATAAACAATTTAGAATTACATACTTTACGGTTTGGCTTTAAAATTTTAATTCTACTCTTGTGCTATAAAGTATTATGACTTCTATACATCGTATCGCACACACTTTTTTTTTATCTAAACTCATGTGAAGTGGGATGTAAAGTACACATACATATGTATGTACATGAAATGTTTATACGTTTGTGAGTACATATGAATATGTAAACATCGGGCTATGCGCGTGCTTTAAAAAAGTACACAACCTATGATAAGCATACTTAAAAGTTACTACACCTCAGCGGTATATGTAGATCTAGAGGAAAAGTAGATAATTCTTTGTTTGGAAAGATCGTTCGTTCCAGCTAATTGTAACAAATCACTTACTTGGGTTTACTTTGAAGGAGAAGCTCTCTTTATGTATATTTATATAATTATCGCAGGTGGGTTAACGTTGAAGAAATATTTTATCTGCGATATGACTTTTATTTTGATTCCCACATCATGCGTATACAGTAATGCAAACAACAATAAATGCTTACATAAATGCATACATACATACACATACATTTACAGTGCAGCAAGTAAACTTCTGCTGTGACGTTGGCATATACAACTTAGCTAATTGATAATACAACTCAGCAAATATATGACGAGTTGAAATCAATGGCTACTAATTGTTAGTAAATTTTTAAGCTTATATAACTTTTTGCTAATGAAAGGTTTTACGTTAATCAACTAATTACACACGCATACAACGAGAAGTATTTGAAGTTTCTAAAAGGAATCCTAGTTTACCTACAAGTGTTTAAAATAGCTTATGCTTTAGAAATGTAAAGGTGTGGGTATGTGTACCCTAAGGCTAGAAAAAATTAAAACACATAATTATTCTTTAGTTAAATACATACGAGTTATATTTTATTTTACATAATCAAAATCACAAACAGATTTAGTTGGACTAAAACAAATCTTTAATGGTATAATTTTTTTATATTATTTTGTTACTTAAATCAATAGCAAAGTTACATACATTGCCCATTGTCGAGCTAGTGACTATGACACTTTAGTTGCATGCAATTTTTAACACCCACAACTTATTTACAAATAAATTGCTACCTCCCCTAAATTGGAACATAAAATATAATGCTACATATATGATAGTATAATTATGGCTTTGGTAATTTTATAAAAACTAAAATTAATATAGTTACGTACTACTGGTACTTATAATTTATAAAAATTATAATACATGCATATTTTTAATGCCTCGTCCTAGTATCTACTTCGTTTTGTTTTCTTATAAATATCTACATTTTTGACGTCGAATAATTTTTCGCGTTTAGTGTTGTTTTCCTCTGTTTTAATATTAGCTTCCGAATGCAAATACCAACAATACCTATGTACGTACATATATTCTTGAGAGATAACGCACGTGCTGTGTGTTGTACCTATGTGTCGGCAATACTATTTATACAACTAATACTTATCTACAACTAAATTTTCTTAGTATACTACACTGAGATTCCTCTTGTTGTTGGTATTAATAGTTCCTTATCAGGTGCTTGCTTCCGCCTGAATGTAATGTATGTGTATAGCAAACTAGCAAATACACTGATATTAATTCCTATACAATTTAGCCATGAGAAGATGTAGTCACCGCCGATGAACATGCCCAAATATGTTACACATATGTTCTTTAAGCAGCCAACAATTGTTGTCGTGAGCGCCGAATTGTATTGCGTACAAAGTATTGTACTGTATGATAGAATGAAGCCCATAAAGCAACTCATTAGGAATTGTATGACAAAATAAGGGTTTTGCCATTGATTAAAAGCGATCGATTTTTCCAGGTCCCCAGTAACATAAGTAACAAGCAATGCAGGTATAATCATGAAAAGTGAGTTGTAAAACATCAGTCCATATTTGCCAATTTCCGAAGTGTCCAGCTTCTTTTTTACGTATACTCCATTCGATGCCGTAAGCGCATTGGTTATCATTACGAAGGTATAACCCCTCATGTTGAATGACAGATCATCCGAAGCGGCCAGTAGGGCACCAGCTATCATTGCGTATACGCTAACTTGTACAGCAAACGAAGGTCGTACTCCTAATATTTTTAATTCCAGTAACATCGTCATTAATATTGAAAAACGACGCAGTGCGGCAAACATAGGTAAGCTTAGTTCTTTTGTGCCACCTAAGCCAAACATCATGTTTCCAAGGAATATTAATGGCAATGGAAAAATTTTCATAAACGTATTTCGTTTTAGTGGAGGATACGATACGAACTTCAGCTTCCGACCAAGTCCAAGTACCACAATACTAGCCAACAACTGGCCCAAACTTAGGAACAAAAACGATGGAAAGTGATACGACGTTAGAACTGTTTTATTCACAACGGTTATCATGAAGGAGGACATTCCATAGAAAAGAGCACTGCTAACCTTTTTAAAAAACAATGTGCCATCATCGTTATGACGGAGCTCCTTCGAATTAAGGCTTGTTCTACTGTCATTGCTGCTGCTGCTAGACAGGTCAAGCGTAGTATTTTGCTCATTACTGTGTGTTGTCATTGCACTGAAGATATAACTCGAGCGCACTGCCGCTGAACCGAAGTATTCCTTCAATTACCAAATCACAGTCTTTTGTGAAACTCACATACACTTTCACTACTATTGTATTATACTTATATTTTTATTATTTGCAACATAACTAATTATTATGTAGCCCAACGTTTGTTAACTAATAGGTTAGCTTTTAAATGGTAATCAGATTTGTAAAATAACAAAATCACCATAAAAGTTTAGTAACCATTTTGACAGTCGCGAATTGACTAACTTCACAGCTGACAGCGGAAGCTCATAGCAGCTGTCAAATAAGTGAGCACAATTAGCACAAGAAGGGAAATGACACTTATGCACTAACTATTCAAACTATAACAGATATAAAATTATTAAAACAACTTACCTTATAAAAATAAATATTTTACTATTCAATACTATTATTACAAATTTTGCCAATGAACAAATACTTTATGGCGGTATACAAATCACAAAAAATCAGCTGTTTCATGTATAACAGATTCCACAGGGATGATTAATACTGTGTCAACTAGTATTATATTCTTTTTTAGTATTATTGGTATACGTACAAGGTAAATACTACAAAATTATTTTAAAATAACTCATTTTAGTCAATATTGAGAACATTTACAGACCTTTTATTGGTAGCAGAAAATTTAGTTTATTATTGAAACCTGAGTAGTATAATTGTCTTAAGTACATGAATACCTACATTTGCGAACAAAATAAGCAAAACATAATGATTAAAACATGTCATATATTGCCAAAACGTTTCTATTCAAAAGTATTTTTAAGCAAAACAATTAAAAAAGGCCATACACAACATTCATGTGCGTTCGATCGGTATAAGCGCAAGTGAGATTTACGCAAGTTAGGACTTGAGGGCTCATTAATTTGTCGTGTATGGAAAACAAAAAGTAACAAAATTAGAAAAAAAAAAGTATACACACATACAGGAATAATTTAGTGTATAAAAAAAGTCACATACTGTACATAAAAATCTTATTATAAAAAATTCATACCAGAATTATAAAAAGTACAGTTCAATTATTTACCTGATATATGTCGATCGAAAACACAAATGTGTTGTGTATTTAAGATTATTGAAGATTAATGAATGAAAGAACGATGAAAATTGAGAGTAGGACAGTTTCGTCCAGTGGCATATTTTAATGCATCTCTGATTTATGAAAACGAACGGGCCTTCCTAGTTCAGCACAGCTGACTAATTGAGTATTTACAAAAGTAATCTAAACTTTTAAATTTTATATTTGCTTTTAATTACAGAGAAGTTAATTCACTTATTTGTAGCAACTGATCTCAATTACTTGTTCAAAATGCATAAAGCTAAGAAAAAAACTAAGACGGGTAAAATTCCAAAACCGATTAAGGTAAAGAAGGAAAAAACTGAAGAAGACCGCACACTTCACCCCATGTCGCACTACATTGACGATCGCTTGGAATTAGTAAAGCAAATCTTTGGATCACTTAAACCGAAAACAATTACCAATCTAGCTCCAGATTTTTTAAAGGTACTAAATGCTTATTATTTTGCAAATATTTTCTAATGTCCCAAAATTACTCAGAAAAAAAATATGGATGAAATTGAAGAGCTCTGCTTGAATGAATTGTTAGGTATATCTACCAAACGATTGCTATCCATAATTAATGCCACAAAGTGTCCCTCGGATACAGAGTCATCCAGCGATTCTGATGTAGAACACCAAGAAGGTATGTTTGAAAAAGTTAATATTGATTTGATTTGTAATTCATTGTTATTATTGATTGCAGAACACATCTCACTTGAAGAAATCTCATCAGATAGTGAAATCGAAGGTACATCCTCCAATGCCGGTAAGCTATACACATTCATATTCGTATGCAACTGTATATATTATTTCAGTTTAATTATGTACATTTTAAAATTTTTATGGATTCTACAAAAATTTATTAAAATATAATTAAATAGATATTTTGGTCTATTTACATTACAATAGGGAAGCCCTGTTAACTGTATTTAAATTTTTCACCAATTGGCATTGGGGGCAAATAGAAAGCTCGAAGTATGACTACGTCTTCATTAACACCATACTGAATGTCGTCTTCATCTTCTTTACAGACTTCCAATGTAATTACAAAATCACCGGTCTCCAATAAACCACTAACTCGCCCAAATTCGATACCATATTCAATTGGGCTCAAATTCCCCTCATTCATTTCCTTTGTGTACAGAATACCACGCAAGTTCCGTCGCAAGTTGAGTGCCTTGGCCAATTTCAACTTGCACTCAAATTCGTTTTCCTCCATACTTTCTAAAGGCAACATCATTAAGACGGGACAGTAAATTTCCACACGTCCCAATGCCACAGCAGCCGTTTCGCATTTACTATGCATAATAATCGCTTGACACTCCACTGAGGTGATTGTACGTATTATGAAATTAACTATGCTTTGGTAAGAGGACAGAATATTCTTTAAAGCCATCGAATTTTCTACAACAGTTTTGTGAAAATCTTTCAAAGGCAGCAATTTTTTCACTATCAGTGGGTATTTGTTGCACCAACTACTCTTCTGAATAAACATCGTATCGATACGCCAGAGAAAATCATGATTTTCAAATCGTTTGAAGTCACTACACCGTTCCAATGGTATTGTGCCTATAATGGGCTTTTTCAAACATTTCGCCAATGGCATTAAATCGTTAAATATATGATTTTGCATGGAACTGCTGGCACAGAACATGTCTTGTATCCAAACATAATCCAGTAATTTAACGATGCCCATTAAATCGAGCATTTTCGAACTGATAAATTCTAGATCGATTGTGCCAATTAATTTGAAATTATACTCGTCTTTTAAACTGCTACGCAACGTACGCAGAAATGGCTTACAGCGGATGCGTGGCAATACGATGAAATCGGCTTTCGATTGGGCGGCCAACTGAAGGTCGTTCATAAATAAGTCGGGGAAGGTTTCGTTGGACAATGAGTAACATTGATTCGGTAACTCGATAT